CCCGTCAGCCTTCCTGCTCCTCTGATGCTGCTTGGCCTGCTGTGTTCATCCAGCTCTACACCTTGTTATCTCTAATTCCTAGAATGAATGGGCACAACAGAAAGCTGGGCAGTTGTCCCACAAGCCAGCTCACTGTGTAACTGCCTTAACCCACCCAGTGACTAACCTGTTTACATCTTTTTCAAGCTACGGCAACTCAACAATTTTTCCATAGTCATATTCGTGCAGGTCAAAGGCATTGGCCCAACATTTCCCAGCATCCCTACCTCAGAGTACCTCAATTGACTGTCGTCTTTCAGACTTAAAATGGTAGCCATTTTTTAAAACACGACAAGCTACTATACAGCTCTACCACATAACGGACAACATACACAGCAAGGGTCTGATTGAAGGCCCGTTTTCCCTTTCATGAGCTCCACCACCACCACCTACCTCACCCATTTCGTTCTTTCAGTAAGTTGAAAAGTCAGGAACCAGAACGCAACGAAACGTTTTACCCATCAGCCTCTTACGCACTCATTACTAAATTTTTATTGGCTGCCTCTAGGTTAGCTTGAAGTAGGCTCTCTGCATTGTGCCAACACCAAGAGTCATCTTCTCTTTTACCAAACCCCCTTCTGCCTAATCTATCTTTCCATTAACACTTGCATTACAACCAAATTGCACACAAGTTACTTGCTTGTAGGAGATGACAGCAGATTCCTGTTTGCACAAGTAAGGAGGCATTCGTGACACTATTAATGGGAAAATGGTCTCAATCACTCAACTCTTTTGTTAAATGTTTAAACCTCTGGAGAAGGCAACGTACCGCTCTCATCTGCTACCTACAACCACACCCCCACCCATCCCCCCCTCCCTTTATTATCCCAATCTCTACCATTTGACAGTGCAGTATTAACAAGTAGCATCAGTTACTCTCCAATCCTTTGAGAAATATCAACTATCATTTTGCTTTTAAAGGCTTAATATGGAAAATAAAGGCCCCCCCTCCTACGACAAGGAAATTTCACAAATGATTATACCAACGCTTCTTATGCTCTAGGCTAACATGAACCACATAGCCTTGCTAGCGAGGAGAAAATAAAAACAAAATCGAGGGAGACTGATCCTGGTATTCCGTAATTAGGTCATTCACCTAGAATTATAGGGATAACATCCAACCTGTTATTCCCGGGGGGGTGCCCGTACTGTGAATGTAGTATAGCACATAATGTACCAGATAATACCTCACTGGCAATGTTTTACTTTCAAGAAAAGGCGAACTATCTCAACCTTGGGATTTTTTTTTTAATTGTTAGGTGTTTTTTTCCATACGGGGAAACCTCCAGCTCTTGCAGTGGGAGCCTGTGTTTGTGCTGCATTGAGAACAGGTGACCAAAACAATTCCACGTCCCAAAGCTAGGGGGCGAAAGCATTCAGCTTGAAAAGCAAAGGGGGCCTCCTCCAACTGCACAAGACGAAACTCCCTCTCCCCAAAGAGTTCAAAGATACAAAGTACATCCACCTCCAGCACCGCCAGAATTTACAAATAAGATTCTTTTATTTTTGATGCAAAAGTTAAACAAAACACTTGTCCTCTTTTTTTTTGTTGTTGGCAAAGGTTTTGCCTCAGTCTCTCTCTCTCATGCCCCATAAAGAATTCTACCGACAGAAAAATGGCAGGGCCAGGGCCAAGGCCAGCAGGTGGAAGGAGGCAGCTGAGCATCGCAGGACGTTGCCTCCGTTTCCCAGGTTGGATTTCCCACTCTGCTCTGGAATGGCGTAGACAACAGGTGACCGGGTTGCAGCATTGAACAACCGTCTCCTGCTGCATCCATCTTCCAAGCAGGCGTCACCACTCCCAGACCCGCTGCTATCATCACCTATAGAAAGTGCAAAGGCGTTAATAAGGAAGGTTCGGTTATCATCACACCATTAGGCCAAAGATACACACCCGATACTGGAACCCAGCTCTACTCACAGGCCTAGGCTCAGTTACCCACTCAACTCCAGGCCCAGTTATATGCTCTGCGTGCAACTCCAGGCCACGATGAAGTGGGCATTGGGTCGGCAGAATAGAAGAACCACAAAAGTTTGCAGGGAGTCAAAGCACAGACGAGAGGTTTCTGAGGCATATACATTGGGTCACTGCGTATTCAAGAGACCTGAAGTGTAGATGAGACTGCTCAATGAGGGTGCGCCTTCTGAGTATTCAATGTCTGTGGGCATTGTGGGACTGGGGTTTCGCGAACTGATGGGAGTGGGCAGCATCCCAGGATGCAACTGGTATTTGGGAAGATCCATACTTTCAGCAAGCAACCATGGAACTTCTAGCATTCAGGTGAAGCAAGTGGAACTGCACGGTGTGAGATTGGAGATGGTACTTGGGGACAGAATTGAAACAGCTTCAGAATGAATGCATGGTGAATGGAAAGGTTTAGAAATAAGACCCAAATCTATATTTATGTGGTCAGGGTGGAACCCATCTTGGGTCAGTTAGGGAGAGAACAGCTAAGCCAGCAAGTTCAAGAGCAACAATCCAGAGGACAGAAACAGTTACGACTTTGACCAGCATGCAGGCGACAGTTGTGTCTGTCAAGATCCAAAGTTCACAGGAGACGCTCTGGGTGGGAAAATGGAGTTGTGAAAGGTAGTGGTGGGCGTGAGCAAGAGATAAGGACGCTGTGGTCATGGACTTGAAAAATATGCAGTTCCAAGCACTGCCCAGTCAGAGCAGTACTAATCTCATGCTTAAAAATAAGAGGAGGACGTTTACTGCAGACGCAGGACATTAGAAAGGGCAAGGTTTGAAAATCTAGTAGTACTTTACATTTGAGGTATCCCTTGACATTGCACATAGCGAGTCAATGCCTGCTTTACTCTTCAAATAAAGCTGGTTCAGAGAGCATGGTATGCTGCTGAGAATGCATCAAATTTAATTCAAACTCCATTTTAAAGTCACTCATGATTTCCCAGCAGTGCTGCGTTTACAATTAGAAGAAAATGGACTTTAGCAGTTCAAGAAGGTGGTTTGCCACCAGCTTATCAGGACAGTTAGGCAATGGGCATGATAAGCGAACAGATTCACGTTTAATGCAATAATTCGGATCAACAGCAAAGCCAACTCGATTTTATATAAAAATCGAAAGAACTGCGGATGCTGTAAATCGGAAACAAAAATAGAGATTGCTGGAAAAACTCAGCAGGTCTGGCAGCTTCGGCGGAGAGAAATCAGTTCTGCGGAAAGATCACTCGACCCGAAACGTTAACTCTGACTTCTCTCCATAGATGCTGCCAGGCCTGTTAAGCTTGATTTTACACAGGCCCTTTAATATGCAAACTCTGCAATGGCCTAATGGTTTTATTGCTAAACTGGTAATCCGAGACCCAGATAATGATCTGGAGACCCAGGTCTGAATTCCACTATGGCTGACGGTAGAACTTGAATTCAATATAACTCTGGAATTAAGAGTCTCATGATGACTATGAAACAGTCTAGAAATTAGGGTTGGGCAATAAATGTGGGCCAAGCCAGCGACACCCATGGGTGTGAATGAAAATAAAGCAACACTGGATGGGGCCACAGGATAGAAGAAGCAAAACATAGGCACTGGAGCACTACAAGTGACAGGAGAGTGCAACTGCAGTGTGAAAGTTTATGTAGGCAACTTTCATTGACAAAGTGGACATAGGAACTTAGAATGGAAATAGCTGGCACAGAGTGAGAGTTTGGCACAATATGATAGTGTGACAGAGTAAAATTTGGGAAAGTGTGAGGTTGTTCATTCTGGAAGGGAGAACAAAAGAACAGACTATTACTTAAATAGAAAGAAGCTGCAGAAAAGGGACTTGTTAATACTATGCGTGGAACATGTAAGGCTAACACACTGGGGTAGCAGGGAATCAGGAAGGCTAATGGAATGTTGGCCCTTATTTCAAGGGGGTTGGAGCATAAGAGTAGGCTAGTCTTATCACAACTGTACAAGGTGCTGGTGAGACCATGTTTGGAGTACCGTAAGCAGTTTGGTTCCCTTTTTGAAGGAAAGATATGTCATTGGAGGCAGTTCAGGGAAGGTTCACTAGGATGATCCCTGGTATGGGGGGGATTTTCTTATTAGCAAAGGCTAAACAGACTGGGACTCTACTCACTGGAGTTTATAAGAATGAGAGGTGATCTCATTAAAACGTATTGGATTAAGGGGCTTGACAGGGTAAATGCTGAATGTTTCCCTTCACGAGACAGACTAGGACCAGGGGACATAGTCTCAGAATAAAGGAGCACCAATTTGAGACTGAGATGAAGAACAATTTCTTTGGTCAGAGCGTTGAGTGTCTTTAGAAATCCTTGCTATGGGGGCAGAGTTCTTATATCTATTTAAGGCTGAAATAGATAGATCCTTGATCAGTAGGGAAGCAGGTGTTATGGGGAAAAGGAGGATTGTTGCATCAGGCATTATCCTATTGAGGCTTGAGGGGAAGAATGGCCTACTCCTGTTCCTGTTTCATATGGTCATATGGCCTTATGACATCAGGAGGTGACGCAACCAGACTTACAGCATTGGGTGCAACGCAGTATTCTTATGGCAAAGCCAACCAATCCGATCAAGGCAATAGGCCACAATAGTCCAGGATGGATTTACTTTGTTGGGATCACGTTTTCTCAGTTAATTATGCCAAAGATCAGCTGATGGTGGAAACTGGTAGGTTGAAATGTCAACAAGAACAATTTAACAGACTACGGGCTAGATTAATCTAATTAATGTAGTCACCGAACCACTATTCTACACTGTACGCAGGAATGCGACATTGAGATTAGATCTCAACACAGAAGTGCAGACTTCAATGCCATCAACGTACAACATCAGAAATCACACGACACCAGGTTATAGTCCAACAGGTTTATTTGAAAACACAAACTTTCGAAGTCTCGCACCTGAAGAAGGAGAGAGACTCCGAAAGCTTGCACCTTCAGATAAATCTGTTGGACTACAACCTCGTGTCGTGTGATTTTTGACCTTGCCCACCCCAGTCCAGCACCTGTACCTCCATATCATCAGCATACAAATAATTCCCACGTTAATATATCACTCAGTTTTAGGTCGGCTGAACACCTGAACACTGGATTGGAAATCCATACCAACCTCATTCAACTTCACACTGTGAAAGTTTATGGACATTTTTTTCAAGTGTAAAAAAAATCAATTCTAATTTAACTTCAAGTGATCTGATTCCCTTTTATTACTTGAAGGATTTTGCTTCATTTTGCTGTACTACACTGGTTAGTAATGGTTCTCTGTTATTTAGTCTATAAGTAAATCTGACTATTAATTTTGAGAGTGCTGAGTGGTCTGGCAGTGTAGCATGTTCTGTCTCTTTAAGCATTCATGGAGGATTTGATAGGTGTCCTCACATGAACGCCAGTTATTGATGTCACAAAATAAATCCTGGGATTTTGTTTGTTTATTTGTTTATTCTTACACAGTATTTGGGGTGGGATATGTGCACAGAAGCAAGTTTCAGTTCATGTGAAACAAGTGTCAGGAGAAAATTGGAAAATGTGAAAACAGTCTCAGTTCTAGATTACTGAAATAGCAAGGGAACAAGGGGTGGACAGGGGGAACAAGAATGCAGAGGTGAAGAGGAAAGGGAGGAGACTGAGAACAAGAGGGAGGAATGCACCAAATGGGGAAGAAGGAGAGGTATGAATAAGCAATGGACAAGGGAAGAGAAAGACAAGAGATGGACATTTTTGTTTAATTCATTCTTGAGATGTGGCTGTCGTTGCCTGGGCCAATGTTTATTGCCCGTCCCTGGTAACGTTAATATAAGATTGTGGAGGAAGGAGCAAGAAGATTATTGATAGGAAAATATCAAGCGAATTAAACCATAGGACGTGATTGTAAGGACTGAGAGACTGGCTGGAACCTCTCCTTAGCATGGGAGGTCTCTCAAGTCACTCAGCACAAATGCACGCACTAAAAGCAAACAGCAACAATGGGCAGAGCAGTGTAAATACTCACTCGTGTCCTGGAAATCCACATCGTTGCCATTGTAGGCATTCCGCAGTCGATTCGTCATTATCCGCAGCTGCATGATCTGCTGGCGAATGGTCATATCCGGCTTGGTGATGTCAACCTCAACCTCTGGGTTGTTAATCTGATTGGCTAATCCATCCGCCATGACCTCTGGGAGATACCTGCCAGGCATAGCGAGAGTCAAGAAGCAATCACGCAAAGGTGTGCAGAAACCACCAGTTCCCCTATTCTGGTGCTGGGAGTTGGGGGAGGGTGGGGCAAGAGATATGAAGTCAGGGAGGGCAGAAAGAAGGGGTGACCTGTTCTATATGGAAACTGCTTCAAATATGAAACTTTGAAGTAATTTTATGTTAGACACTATTGTCTATGCTTTATAGGAAACCTCCTAAGGTATTTAAACCAAGTGAAGTGTCCTTTGTGATTAAATCCACATTCAAATGGCTCATTGGGTAAAAGGATAATTTATAAGGCAGTGAGCTCTGCTCTACCAGGTGGGCTTGTTCTCGGTGCCTTGGTACCAGATCTCAACAATGCAAGGGGTACGGGTGAGATCAACTCCACGTGAATAGTTAGGAGGAAAGGAAATTAGCCAGGATCATTTTGTTCCCACCCCTTGGAAAGCACACGCTTTAATAATGGAAAAATGGCAGGGCCGCCCTTGCCCATGATACACTCCATGACCAAACAGCCAGCAAAAGTCTCCAGGCAAGTCATTGTTGAAGGCTTTGGTAGCCCCAGTGCAGGCAGAGGTTCTGGTCCAGAGGCCACACTTGCCAGCAGGGGCCTTAGCCATTTTGCTTGGATTTTGTCTTCTCACTGATCACTTCTGGGCTCCCATCCCATTATGGATTAATCACGTGGATAGACGGGTACTAAAGCGGGGCCTTGTCTCAACGTGGAGGCGCCCCCGCACGAGGCAGTTCTAAGTGGAAAATCAGAGGGACGAGCAGGCCGGCATCTCCCAAGGGGAAGCCTTCCTTGCCCATGCACAGCCCCCAACATCCCCTCACCTATCGGGGCATGGAACCTCCCAGATGTCTGCATCTATGAAGTTGGCAGCCACTCCATGTGATGGGAGCGCTTGGCTACCCCATTGAATTGACCCTCAGTGGGCCATTGGCTGTTCATCTAGGGGAGGCTTCAGAACCACCATGCCTTGAGATTGGGAAAATCCTTCCCTCAATCGTTAGGTACACTCCAGCAGGGTTGCCCTGCATTTATTACAGGTCAAGGCCTGACTGAAATATATTTTCCACCCTCTTGGCTTGTACGAAAGGAGGGAGCTTCACATTTCTGACAGGGTCCATCAGAAATGCGAAGGCGTACTTCCATTCTCACCATTCTTTTGTAGTGCACAACTGTCAGAGGAAGGTAAACGACCTCCATCTTTTCGCAGCACAGAGCTATTGTATTCTGAGATTGAAAGGTCCAGAATCACAGACAAGCCACTCTGACAGCTGCTGTCAAATGGATAATAACATGACGTCAATGTGATGCAAGGGTGCTGGGCATATAAGGTGCTCGATGGAAAGGGCTCGTGTGCCACGTATGTAGGGTGCTAGGTAAGTACGGCACAAGCTAGGTAGGGGATATTGGCCAGAGGCTAGGATGCCAGATGCAAAATGGCAAGGCAGGCCAGCCAAGTTGTGCAGTGTCTAGGGTACACTGCGGTGAGTGGGTGAGATCAGGTCCAGCAAGCGGAGCGAGAGTGTTTGAAAAGGGGAAGGAAGGGGGAATCGAGGGTGGAGATGGGGTTGGGGGAGCGGGGAAGAAGGAACAAGTCCCGGGGGAGTGGGGTTGGTGAAATGGGGTCAGTTCTACCTGGTGCAGAATGAGGCAAGTGGAGCAAGTGGAGGGTGGTGTGTCATGTCTGTGTGCGAGGGTGGGTGGGGAAGAAGGGAGATTGGGGAGCACATGACCAGTGCCAACAGTACCAGAGTGGGAGGAGGGTAGGACATTTCCTGGGCGGTGTGATGGAAGGTGGGGGTTTGTACTCAGGGGAAAGGGAGGGGTTGGGAAGTTGTGGGGTGGAGAGAGTCAGGTGTAGAGTGGGGGAAAGTGGTCAGCTGCGGGTAAATTGTCAGGCAGACGTGGGGCTGGGGTTGCATGACGTAAGTGTGTATTTAACAATCGAACCTTTCCTGAGTAACTATTATATGTAACGACATTAGAACAAGCATTGAGGAACTGCCTAGCAGCATCTTCAATTTCTCTGGCAATTACTTCGCAGCCTGTTACAATGGGCTCCCTCGTGCAATAAAGACCATCTGGCTGTCAGAAAATCCATTTTAATCAGAGAGGGGCTAGCTGTGCCCTAACCCTCCAGCGATATTACACAGTCCAGAGATTAAAGCTGCCAATGTATCTAATCTGGTGATGCCCTCAACGGCCAGTGGGTGCACATTCTGAGCTGACGGGGAGCTCTTCCTAACAAAACTCAGTTCGTCCAAACTGCTGCTATTGACACAAAGTTCAGCCATGTAATTGAGGACAGGGAGATGGTGCTCAAAAGCACAAACGTACACCCGCACAGACAAAAGCCCCACAGTTTTCCCCGAAACCCGTGTCCCGACAGACGCTGAGCTTGGTATTTACATTGTTCCATTGACCAGTCACGCAACCCCCAGCCCCGGTTACATTACATGCCTGCAATGACAGCTGCTATGAAATTGCAATACGCTGCGGTTCAGGGAGGAGAAACCAAATCTGCTCAGTTTGGATAAATACCACTACTGTTGAAACATAGACTGAGCAATCTAATACGGCACTTAATAGCTCCAAGTCCCCATCTCTGCACACAAGCTTCGGAATTCAGTCGATAAGAGTTTTAATTAGAAAACCACTCAAACGATACATTCCCATTATTTTCTTTTTTAGAAAAACATGCGTCGCCATTACTTAAAGCCGCACAATTCCCTTCGGATGATTTTTCAGCACAATAATCAATAACAAAAAAAAATTCCTCAGATGGTTTGCTGCAGGAGAAAATCCATTTGTTGCTCCCTAACAAGATCAGCACTGCACACTCTAATAATCCTCAGGAGTGCACTGTATCCTGCAATCCCAGGTTGGATTCTGCCATCATACATCACCTTGACTATCAGTACAAAGCCCATGGAATTCTTAAAAAGGTCTTCTTTTAAAATATAATATTTACAAGTTCAATTGAGGAGGATTAAAAGCTCACAGTAGCAGTGAGACTGCTAACCTTCAGCATTAAACATCAAACTCTCCGACTATCTCGAGTACTAATTAGAAAAGTCAAGCGGGCAGGGACTCGAATTTAGGCTCCACTCTTTGCAATGGGCCTACTCGCTAACCTGTTGTCAAGGGAGACAATCGCAGGAACGTCAGTCTTCAAGCAAGGTGGGTCAGCTCCTTGTTCACCCCCCTGCCCTTACACAACGTGCCCCCACTTACAATCATGAGAAGGCAGTGATGTAGTGTTAAGGTCACTGAATTCGTAATCCAGAGGCCAAGGCTAATTAATGCCCTGGGGACATGGGTTCAGATCCCACCAGAGCAGCTAGTGGAATTTAAATTTAAATTGATCAAATCTGGAATTCAAACATGGTCTCAGTAGTGGTGATAACATCATCAATTATCATAAAACAGCACTCACTAATGTCCTTTAAGGAAGGAAGTCTGCTATCCTTACCAGGTCTGCTCCACCATGACTCCAAACCCATAGCAATGTGGTTAATGAACTATCCTCCTTTGAAACATCGTAGCAATTAGGGATGGTCAACAAATGCTGACCTTGCCATTGACAACCAACCCCACACAAGTAAAAAGCATAAAAACACAAACCACTGCTGTTGGCAGTTATGAAAGCAATCCATGGTTCTATCGATGTAGCTATGATTTGATAGGGCGTCTTTGACTTGCTGTCTGTAGTAGTTGGGACTGCTTTGCCTATAGTGACGTCCCCTTAGCTATGTGTAGCCATACAACAGGAAACAGAGAAGGAATATTATTGAGTCACAGTCCAAACCTTACTTCACAGCTAGGAGGCCCACGGGAATAGGAGATGAGAACAGGACAAGGAAAAGCAAGCCCCAAATATCTAATGGCCTCTATTATGAGTGCTGCAAAATATCTAATTATGCTACTTGCCTTACAATTTGTCAAGTATCAGAAACTATAGACAAATGAACGAGTGTTACAAAGATGCTTTATACTTAATATTCCTTGGAACATTTAAGTTTTGAATGATTGTGGAAAATTATTTTTACGTATTATCAATGTAAGTTTTCTTTTAAGAGGTCATTGAAAATTCACTGTGAACAATGGAATTTGTTTTAACAATGCTTCTTATAAATCATGTGACTGGTAATAGGCTGTGTACATTGTTGTAGACTTTTCTCAGATTATTTGAACTGTGACTGGCTTGGTGAGGTTCAGTTGGAGGAAAGCCTGCTAAGAACAAGCTGAGTTGTTGGAACGTTTGCAAGGAACAAGCTGCCCAGCTGATCGCTGCCATTTCCGAAAAGAAAACACACTACATCACTTAAGATTGAAATATGCTTATTTTTTTGAAAGAGTAATTGAAGGAAGATCTCAAAAATGTACTTCCTGAGCAATATGGTGCCTGTAGATTTGGCCTGGCACAATTAGCAACTTGACCCTACATGCCAGAACATCAGAGCAACAGACTCAGGAATGTGCTATGCTTCATCCTTTTGCCATGAAGATTAACACAATGGCCAAAGTGTTCATTTTAAGGAGGCCAATCTCCACAGAGAAATCTGCTATTTTTTTTTCTCTCTCTTTTCCCTGAAGAGTGTCGGTGTGCATGTGTGTATCAAGGATGTTTAGAGGGATAAACACCTATATTTCTATATTGCTGACACAAATGTTAACCAATCATTGCATCTCTATTGATGAACTTCTGTTTTGATAGTAATAGAGTAATACAGCATGGAAACAGGCCCTTCGGCCCAAACTGGTCCATGCTGACCATGTTGCCTACTAAATCCACGCATACACCAGTGTTAACTTTTCCATTCTGGACACTCTCCCTAACCCGAGGCCAAATCCCCAGTGGTCCAGAACCTCGCTCTTAATTCCCGAAACAGTTCTGGTGGGCCCTTAAAGGGACCTATATTTCTGAAACTGACAACGTCTTGGAGCGAGACTCAACCCCAAGCTCGTAACTCAG